AGTGAATAATGTACGAAATAATAGAGGTACCAAAGACTTCCAATTTGATTTCATTTAAAAGATACTGAGATATTCTAGGCAAGTGGAGATAAAGAGGGCTAGAACATAGCTCCTCGCAGAAGCTGTAGCCTGATGTGGAATGTAAGGCTGTAGCTGAATGGCTGATTCAATTTCTAGCAAGATTAGTATTTTAAAATAAGTATAGACACATAATTGAGTGAGAAATGAGTCTTTTGTGGCTGGGAAAATCTAAATTTCAAAGACAGTTGACATTTCAGTTTACTGTGCATTCATCAGAATTCTCTAAAGGAACAAGAGCCAGAGAATAAGTAGATTTTAGGAATGGAGTCACTAGATTGGTTTACATGATAAGGGCTGGGTCACTAAAAATGGCTCTTGATACACTGAAAAGGTTGAGAACCTGGTAGTTCCTCAGTCAGCCTGCCTGGATACCTCAGCGGTCCCAGTCTGAAGCTGAAAGCTTAGAGGATTTCTGAAGTGGCCCTGGTCTTTGGTCTACACTGATTTCCAGAGTCACTGAAGAACCAGGGCAGCAGTAACAGTGTAAATGCACTCATAATCAAAGACGGAATGCAAGCAGGCGAAATAGCTAAGCTTTCCACAATGACTTCTTCTATCCACACCCAGGTGCCGCCCACTCTCAGGGAAGGTCTAACCCTCTCAGTTAATCCTTCCAGAAAGTGTCCGAAGATATCAATTCAGAAGCAGATCTCTTAGTTGATCCCATACCCAATCAAGCTGACAGTATTAACTATGACAAAGCATGGCAAACGAATAGAAAGAACTGTTCCAATTATAATGACAAAGAGAAAAGAATATGGGTAAAGGGGGCTATGAATGAACTCCCCCACATTGACCATGTAATATGCACACATATATGCAGAGACAACATATTCATAGCAGTGACAGGAACAAGGACTGGCATCAGGTAAGAATGCATTCACATCGTGGCTCCTTTACTATCTAGCATCATGACTGAATAAAGCTCACTTAAGTTCTTAAGATCCACTTTTCCCATGTAAAAGGAGAATAATAAGGCAACCTTAATTGGCTTCTTTAACTGAGATGATATAAGTAAATGCTTAGAAGAGTCTGGCTTTCACCATTACGTCTGCTGTAGCCTCACACATGTTTCTACACTTGACAAACTCCGTTCTACTCAGGTTAGCTCTAATCCCATGTTAGCTCATGTTCTTTCACTAATTTGTTCCATAAATAGTTCTCACCATCTTCTACATGGATTGTTTTATTCTTCCAGTATCTACTGACTTCTTTTCAAGGCAGCAGTTATCTCAAGAACAGAGACGTATTTGGTTTTCTGCTACTGCTCTGCTCCTCCCAAGTTCTGAGGCTCTGTGGGAGCAGGGGAGGGCTTATTGGTGACCTACAGGAAAAGCAGATGCTTGTGACTATCATATGTAAACAAGAAAATCAAGAGAAGACTCCCACAGGAGATGAGTGGGTACTCTCTGTCCCTTCCAGCAGAGCAAGGCTGGAAGACTCCTGACTTAACCAGCTCAGAGCTAATGCAGGCAACAGACTCTAGCTGTGGCATTTAATTTCCCATTTTTATCTGTCACTTGAAAACACCAACAAAATCCAGCTCCAGTTCCAGGAAGAACACACCTTGGCACCGTGTGAGAGTGTCATTGGGAGCTCCAAGCCCAGGCAGGCTTTTTGGAACAGAAGGAGTATAAATAAAAGAAACCAAGTACATTAGCGGCTCACTCTGCTCCATATGTTAACATAATTGCAGCTTCCCTTCTCTCCCACATGGCCTTCGGAAGCTAGAAATGCAAGATCTCAATGCTCTGTTTTTATTTTTGTTTGTTTTCCAATATATGCTACAGAGAACAACGAGCACAGGGCTGTTTTTTTCAGTTGCAGAAGAAAGGAATCAGTTGAAGGAGCAATGAGTGAGTGAAAGTGTCTGATAAACAAAAGCCAGTGCTAAAAGGTCTCTTGAGGAGCTTTTGCCCTGTAGAAAAAAAAACCAACAGGACTTCTTCACCAGGGTCATCTCCTAGGATCCGAGCCTTGAAAAAATCATACACGCAGAGCATCATAAGTATAATTTTACTTTTGATTTTGGCTTTGTGTTTAGTTTGTTACCCTTGCCCCCCCTACCAAATAACTGAATAAATCTGCATTCATTACCTCTCTGAAACAAGAAGGAAAAGATAGCCTTGTACACTGAAATTTTATACAATCAGGAGAAACAAAGTCATTGCATGCTATTGAGTTAGAGATCACTTAAAAGGAAGCGCATGCATCTCACCTTTACTATTTGTCATTATGGTTAACCTTCCAGTCTTTAGCAAGGACCCTCCCTGAAGCTAATGAATGCCTTCTACAAACAAGCAACCTAGAACTAATAAATGGCTGCTAATATGTTGACTAGAGATATCCCCCCATTGTTTTTCTTCCCTGTTGTAATACCTATTTGAATGACATGGAAATGCATTTGTAAAACTTCAACCCCATCTTTTGCTCTACTTTTACACATCGAAATTCATCCAGTGTTTGGAAATACTGTTTTTAAAACTCCAGATGTTGTCAGGAAATGACGATCAACTACATTGTAAATTGAAGTCCTCAGAATGCTCACCTCTATCCAACTTTTAAAAATGCACCTTGCAGACCTAAGTCTCAGATGGCTGGAGAAAAGAGTATTATGATGTCTTAGTTATTTGGAAGATTTTTCAACCTCCTATGATACTGGATTCTAGGATTTTAGCCAGGTATAGGGGGAGGGAAGAGGGAGAGAAAGGAGAAAGGGAAACAGGCAATGGCAAGAGAACATAAAGGAATATAGGAGACAGCAGAAAGCCAACTTCACAGTTCACCAGATGCAAGATATTCGGTAGTAGAATGAAAAATATCTGTGCAGTCACAGCAATGGTCTGTTAGCATAGCTCGACTAGAAAATGCTATTGTTATTAGTTTGAAAAATGTATCTGAAAGTACTTCCTAGCTTGGTGAGCTTATTTCCCAGACTTAGGTGACTTCTATGTTCATTGTTGTCTTTGGTTCATCACGACTGTTCTTGCAGTATGCCGAGTTTGAAAGCATTTACACTGGAGACACTTCCAAAGATCTCTAGGTTACACTCCTTTCTCACGATTTTACTCAGCGGGATCAAGTTACGATAGGAGAAATGCTATCCTCCAGGGCAGACGTGGTTCTGAGCTAAAACCTGTTTTTCCAGCCATAAATCACAGGGCTCAATTGCACATTTTGTACTTTCTGCTTTCTGCTTTCCTTCGCCCCCACTGACTTGCGATTCCTGTCTCTGACTGTTCCCAGAAGGATGCTGCGTAGCATGTCCTCACTAACTAAAGGTTTGGATTGTTGCTGGACTTCTATCATGCTGGTTGCTCTCACTCAACAAGAACTTCATGTTTCTTCCTCTTCAGATTATCTTTGAGACTGTGGGTTAATCCTCCCTTCTTGGTAGATGCTTTTATTTCACAAGCACCCGGATACTGGAAGATTCAGCTCTCAGTGGTTATTTTTAGTACTCAATTGATTCAAGCATCTTCCAAATTCTCAGGGAAAAAAAATCACTTCAACCCAGAGATCCTATCAATCACAGCATGGTTTGCATGCTTATTTAGCTGGTTAGTAATTAAAGGCAGCTAAAAATACCAGGCATGCATGAATGGTGTGATTTTTATATCTTTGCTCCTTCCCAGAGAAGATGCAAGACCCATCAATCAAACAGTTGGTAGCTGAAGTCATTATCACTGAAATTAAGGCAATTATACACAAATGAATATTAATGAAGTACCTAGTCAAAATTAGGGTCAGTTCTTAACACTTGAAAAGAAATTGTAGAAAATCTGGGTTCAATGTTAATCCATTGAACGATAACTTAAGAACATATCTTCCAGATATGACTACACTTTGGTTATGGAGACTCCATTATGATGAGGTTACTTTTTTGTTTTGGATAGAGGTAGTTTTATATCTGTATTACAGCTTTTATTTGAATATTGCAAAATGGCCTATAAACCTACATTTAATGTAATGACACAACGTCCTGGTGAGAAATAAGCAAATGGGTCACAGACACTGCTATTTTATAACTTTGGGAATGATATTCATTGCACTGCACAATGCCTTTGTTTATAAACTAAGGAGAAAAGGAAGGCTGATCGCCAAAGCTGTTTTATTTCTTGCTCTCTATTATTACTGGATCTTAATGTGGAACAAGAGCAAATCATTTTAAGTACTCTGGAAGAGTAAAGGATTTTAGTAGAACATGGTTTACCAGGGGATTCTTTGAAAAATCTATGAATAGAGAGAGAAAGAAAAAAAAAACATGAAAATACCGACGGTCTGAATTTTCTACCTGTGTGCAGACAATTAAAATGTGGCAGAAAGAACTCCTCCAACAGTCTCCAAGCATGGATACTGAATTCCAGGACTCCGGGGACTGTGCCCAGGAGGAGCTGTGTGAATGGCTCTCCTGGGGCAATGGGATGCACAACCTGCTTAGACGAAGATGTTAACTTTGCACAGAGAAACGAGATTGGATTGATTGCCCACTTCATGCAACACTTTCGTGCACAGGAAATGAGCAAAGGAAAAGGAAAAAGCAAGCAAACAAGAAAAGAGGGGAGGCACACTCTTCTGTGACAGCTGGAAATGTAAAGCCGATTTGGACCCCACAGGCCTTTAGGTCAGCCAGGCCACAGCCAGCAAGCAAATCAACAAATGGAGGCTTTTCAGTAGTCTTTTTAAAAAAAAAAAAAAATCCTAGAAGGAGCTCATGTTTCGAAGCCAGGAAAGAGTAAAAATTAGGGCAGCATATGCCGCCTCTTCTACAAAAGTCTGAAAATGATGATCCGCAGGACAAAGAGGGCCAGTGGAAATGAGGGGAGGTGGAGAAAGCTCCGAAATACGCTGTGTGGGAGGAAGCCGTTGTTCCTGCTGAATCCCACCAGCTCATTTTGCAACTCCTTGTTTTCTTCCAGAAATCTCAGCTGCAGGAGAGAAACAGGATCATCACAGAACTGTAAACCCAAAGGGATGAGTGTTCCTAGCCTGAAGTGTTTGAAGAAATGGTCACACTTAGAAGCAAGGCTGAGGGGCAAATGCTCTCGTATTCCTCAGAACTGGATGCCGCCACGCTGCTGGAGGCAGCAACCGTGCACGGAAACATTTATACCAGCTTGATAATAGCCACATGAGCCTTAAGTAGACAGTGTCCACTTTAATGCACATTAGCAACACTTGCCAATTCTTCCTATTTTAATTTGTTAATTTTCTCAATCTTTGTTGGATTTTCTAGAGGCCTGAAGAGGTGGAATGTACAGATATAGAAGCTACAGGTGGATTTAATGATTTATGAAGAAGAGTACATGTGCTTACCCATACATGTGCATGCTAAATGTGCACACAGAGACACACACATGCTCACACACATACACACACATTCATACACACAAGATTTTCAGTTTGAATCTAATGTTTGAGAACAACTGTACCAAACCATAAACTACCATTGAATAAATATCAGTGATTGACTTATTGCTAGTCTACCACTTTGTGTTCTAAATAAGTATTCATTGAAATAATTTTTTTTTAAATCAACATATTCAATTGTTGAAAGACAAAGTTCCTTAACAGCATTGTGGTTATGGCTGCAATGGTCCTTTTCTGGAGCTGTGAAGCTAGGATGAAGGACTTGCTGAGCATGCCAGGCATTGTGCTAGCCTTATATGGTGTCTAGAGACATTTCCTTTACATCCCAGGACAATAAAAAATATAATAAGTAGATTGAGTGTGAATGTAAACACTGAAGCTTGCATTCATCTCATTCTTTTATCCAGGGTTCTTAGGAAGATTTTTATTAATTGGATACTACGCTCATTTGGAATATTTTTAAACAAACTAATTGGGAACTGAGCCACCAATAAATGCATAAGTGATATTTACAGAGAAACATTCCCCAAGTGTCTCTTAATATGTTAGGAAAGAATTCCAAATCACTCTCAGGAAATCTTAGCCATCTCCAAATTCTGTATTCCAGGAGTTATATTCTGTTTTGCTAATAGTATCTGTACTAGGATTTCCTAAATAATCTTCTTCTTTATATCCATATTATGTATTGCCACAGAGCAAAGGAAATATCATTAGAGATTTTTCATTTAATTATGCTATTTTCAAACCATGCAGTAAGTAGACTTATTATCACTCAAAAGATAGCAGCTCTACCCAACTGGCTACATTCCTATTCATGTACCTTTTTAAAAAATTGAAATAACTAATCATCTTTAAAATACAGAAAATCTGATGATATTGTATGACAGCCATTTAGATATTCAGTCCTAAGAAGAGTCAGATAACTTCAGCTTGTTTTTCTCTTGTCCAAGAAAAATATATTCACCGATTCAGCAAAATTACTTCCTCCCCATTGCTTTCCTTCTCTTCAACGCTTCCCAGGATAATGGGTTCCCAACAGTTAAGATGTGAAGCATTCATTATTGTCATGCCTTTACTGTACTTTATATTTTCATAAACACATGTGCCAAGTATGATGTATCAACCAATGTGTCTTAGAGTTTAAAACACTACCCAAGTTTTAGCCACTCCCAAGTCCCAAGCTGAATACACATCTGAGCTCCCTTTACTAATTTACTTTGGACCAGTTAACAGGACTTCTTATTTTCCTCTATTATGAGAACTCGGCTGTGAAGAGACTAGCATCACTGCAAATATTCTAAGCCATGGGAAAATGTCTTTGGTGCATGGTTTCTGACACATCCATCCTGTTGTGGTACTCAGTCAGTATTCTTTTATCTTCATTCTCCAGAATGTCTGTTATTTTATTCTCGCAGACATAAGCTTTCCTATTTCATATTATTTCCACTAAAATGTAACTTTACAATACTGGTAAATGTTCATAAATTTAGTGGAGATAATTGCTAATATAAATGGGTTTTAATTGGTGTTTTGTTTGCATTAAAATTTTCAGTCATTTTTGTGTCCTATGATAATTCAAAAACATACAATTCATTATAATTGTGTATATGTGTGCATATGCAAATACACACAAACTTGTCAATGATTATTTCTCTACTTATATTTTGTCTCAATTTCTTATTTCTATTGTATTATATTTTTGTAGCTGGAGAATTTCTCTCCAGCTCCCTCCATGGCCCGCCAGTCCCAGAGCCCACTTATAAAATAAACACAGACTCTTATATTATTTAAACTGCTTGGCCCTTAGCCCAGGCCTACCATTGTCTAGCTCTTACTCTTATATTTAGCCCATTTTTGTTAATCTATACTTTGCCACGTGGCTCATGGCTTACTGGTACCTTACATCTTCCTTGTTCTGGTGGCAGCTACAGGCAGTCTCTCCCTCTCCTTTCTGTTCCCTCAATTCTCCTCTCTCATAGTCCCACCTATACTTCCTGTCTAGCTACTGACCAATCAGTGTTTTATTTATACAGAGCGATATCCACAGCATATTTTCTTTAGTTTCATGATCCCATCCACTAAATTAAATGTCATTTATCATTTATTTTTATCTTTTCTATTTCTTAGTACACATACTTGTCAAAATATAAAGCTAAAGACCAGCGAGTTGGCGCAGAGGTCAAAGACCACCTTCTCCACCAAATAAGCAGCTGACCAAGGATGCCTGAATTCTTATCAAGTTTTGACTATGATATTATTTTGTTGTTGTTGTTCATTTCCTGGTAATCTAGTTTCTTTGTTTTTTTTTTTTTATACCAAGGAGCTAAGTTATTTTACTCTTGTTTTAAATAATGAATACATTTACTAAGCATATGTTTATTAATTGATTTCCTCTGTTTTTCTTGAATTGTATTTAATGCAACTATGTTTTTTGAAATGCATCCGTGTGGTAATTATTCACCTAAGTTCGTTTGTTTTGCCCTATTCCAAATTGTTTATATTTCATCTTGTTTTATTTTATTTTATTTTATTTTAATTATCCTCTAGATGCCTGTTTGTTTCCTAATGAGAGACAAAAATGGTTTCAGATAGGAGGGTAGGTAGGTAGGGAGTATCTAAGAGGCGTTAGGGGATGGGGAAACTGTAATCAGAATATATTGTATGAAAAAAAATCTATTTTCAGTAAAAGAAAAAAAGATTCTGTGATGATCAAGTGTTTCAGAACTTGTTTCCTGGGTATGTATTTTATGTGTCCCTCTGTCCTAACCTCATGTTCTTCTGTGGTATAGTTTGTTTTCACTTCAAGGATGAAATACCTAATATGTCTTTTTTATCTCTTTGAAGGCAATGATTACAGTTTCTTTTGCTTTGCCTTTCTTATTCTGTCTTGTTGTTTATTTGAGGTTTTTTTTTTTTTAACTTTATCAGTCCAGGTTTCCTCTAAGCTGCTTAGTTCTCTTAGGATTTTTGTTCTTGCTTTTTGTTGGAGGAGAATGGCTTATCATAATTAATAAAAAAAAAGTGAAGAGATATTGAATTTCCCAGAAACACGGATCACAAAAACATGGTGTCAATTCCAACTTCATATGAGGTGACTGTGGAGACCATGTGTTAAAAATCACTACTTGGAACATACTCATCCTCCCTTTTATTTTTAATAAAATAATGAATGTAGGGAAAGACTCTCAGTTTTTAGTTATGAAGACATGACCTCCTGGGTTCTGAAATCTAGGTTTTGAGAGAGGACAGAGGACTACAGTTCAACTTTTCATGAGATATATGTTCTTTTTCATCCTTTAGCCACAGCTAGATTCTCCCACCCCAGGGGCCACTAATTCCAACATCCAAAAAGAATCGACCCTCTTTGGTGTGGTGATATAGCTTAGTGGCCTAAAGTCATGGAGAATGGTAGGGCATTTACATCCATGTTATGGTTTGAATATAAAAATGTCCCTCAACAATATGTGCATTAAAGGCTTGATTGTCAATAATGCACAGATAGGTGTCTGGTTCATCAGCATTCCAACACAATCAGTGGGATGCTTTATTGATGAGCTTATCCTTGAACAGGCTAATAGGAGGGATCAGTCAGGCTGTGACTCTGAATGTTACATCTTGTTCCAGCCCTCATCCCCAGATCTCAGCCACAACGATATGAGCTGCACTGCTTTAACACATACTGCCCACGGTAGTGGTATGTCTGAACAGATCTTCATACCAATGGGACCGATTGACTACAGAATGGCACTTCACAAATCATGGCCCCAAACAAATTTTGCCTTCTCTAAGTTGTTTTATCTCAGGCATTTTGTCAGGGAGACATACAGCTGGCTAACAAATCCTCAGTAGACATTATCAAATCTTCATTTTCTTAGCTTCCTCACTCACTTTCACATTCAGAGGTAGGTGGCATAAGCTTGGCCCTTTCTTGTGTAGATTGTTGGATACATTTTCATTCCAGTTTGTCAAGAATGAAACATGCAAGAATCACTGAGGCAATGTAGTAAAAAATGCCAAATTTTTTAGCAGGTCTCATCAACCTCCCCATTAGATGCTTCTAAAGCAAGAGTAACATCTGCTCTTGGCTTTCCAACTTGCCCCCTTCTATCCTTTATCCCCATGATCTCACAGCTCTCATTTCCAAGTATCTATTCACCACAGGATCAAGTTAGAGGGAGGGGGTTGTTTGTTGGTTGGTTTCTTAATTTTTGTTTTTGAGAATTTACTTAGCTGTTTAAAATAGTTTAATAGTCAAATGCTTCAATGTTATCTCACTTTAAAAAATATTTTATCTAGTAAATTTCAAAGTTAACTTAGTCTATTATCTTCCAGGAGCCCTACCACTCCATTTACCTACCACAATGGCAAGCCTTAGGACTAGCAAGTCCTTCCTTCATACCAGTCTTTCTAATTAGGGATCACTGGCCACATTTTCCCCATAAGAGGATAGACACTGGGGGACAAGTTACTCTCTGAAGATAATCTCATGGGACTGTGATTTGAAACCAGAATTTTCTACCATCAAAGCCCATTTACAATCAATCAGGTCATCTTCTGTGTATGTTCATAGTCTTCACCGGAAGGTTACTTGCCTAAAGGGAGAGTGTAGATCTGTTTTTGTTAGCATGCACCTCTGTGTGTATGTATATGTATGTGTGTTTACATGTCTATACATTGTTGTGGGAAGAGACCTCTTAAAACACGGTGCCACCATGATGCTGGGTTCAGGCCATACTCCCTCTCAACGATTTGCCTCCTTTCTCTCTGCTCATTCAGCAGACTCTAACAAACACCCCGTTCCCCTTCTCTCCAACTTTCTATTTATTCGGTCCTTTCTGCCAAAAATACCTATTGCGTTCAAGCAATGAATGTCGCAGCATGCACACCGCTGTGGAACACTGGGGGACTCTGAACAATAATTTTATTTTCAAGTGAAAAAGTGAAAAACAGAGGGGCTGAGAAGACTGTACTGGGATATCACAAAAATAAATGTGTGTGAG